AAAAAAGCCAGAATACAGTTTGCAACTGCACATGGGGACAAAGATCGTACTTTTTGGAGAAATGTCCTCTGGTCTGATGAAACAAAATTTGAACTGTTTGGCCATAATGACCATCGTTATGTTTGGAGGAAAAAGAGGATGGCTTGCAAGCCGAAGAACACCATCCCAATCGTGAAGCACGGGGTGGCAGCATCATGCTGTGGGGGTGCTTTGCTGCAGGAGGGACTGGTGCTCTTCACAATATAGATAGCATCATGAGGAAGGAAAATTATGTGGATATATTAAAGCAACATCTCAAGACATCAGTCAGGAAGTTAAAGCTTGGTCGCAAATGGGTCTTCCAAATGGATAATGACCCCAAGCATACTTCCAAAGTTGTGGCAAAATGGCTAAGGACAACAAAGTCAAGGTATTGGAGTGGCCATCACAAAGCCCTGACCTCAATACTATAGAACATTTGTGGGCAGAACAGAAAAAGCGTGTGCGAGCAAGGAGGCCTAGAAACCTGACTCAGTTACACCAGCTCTGTCAGGAGGAATGGGCCAAAATTCACCCAACTTATTGTGGGAAGCTTGTGGAAGGCTACCCGAAACGTTTGACCCAAGTTAAACAATTTAAACGCAATGCTACCAAATACTAATTGAGTGTATGTAATGTGGCGTACAGCAGGTCAGCCACCAGGGGGAGACTCGTCGAAGCCTGGTAACAGATGGAGTATACATCACGAGGCGGTGGCTCCATCTGCTGGACGTGCCAGGTCTCGACGGGCTCCCCAGACAGGACTAATTGGGGCTGATTTGGGAACTGTTGAGTAATTAAGGGCGGATTGCTCACCAGCTGTACAAGGCCCATAAAGCTGCCAGAAGGGCAGCACAGGGGAGAGGACTGGGGGAAGTAAGGTAACTTCTGTGTAGTTGGAGACGGTATCCTTGAGAGGGTTTCAAGGGGGAGACCTTTCCTTTTCTTTTGATTATTTTATTAATAAACACCATTGAAACCGAGCTAGTCATACTCTGTCCGTGTCTGATCTGTGTAAACGTTTTGACCCAACCCCCTGATCTGCCACAAGTGGTGGAGAATGTGGGCACCTTGATAACGTGGTCAGATCAGGGTTGACGTTTACACAGCATCAGCATGGACGAGTTGATAGCTCAGTTCGTCCGGGCCCAACAAGCACAACAGGCGGTTCAGGAACGAACACTGGAGGAACAGCAACTACAAAATGTCCGCCTCGTGGAGGAAGTCAGGGAGCTGCAAGGAGGAGCGTTTCCTGAATCCCATCCCAACCAGTTTTTAATCAAGCTAACGGAAGACGATGACATTGAAACATACCTCTGTACGTTTGAATGGACAGCATTATGGGAAGGATGGTCAAGGCCGAAGTGGGCAAGTCTGCTGGCCCCGCTCCTCTCTGGGAATGCCCAAAAGGCGTTTTGGGACCTGAACGACGAACAGGCGGCTAACTACAACGGACTCAAACGGTAGATACTCAGCCGCTACGAGTACAGCCTGGCCCATCGGGCTCAACGGTTCCACGAGCCCAACCGACCCCCTTACGCAGCGTGGTAGAGCACGTGGAGACGATGCGGGAGCGGATGACAGCCATATGGCCAGTTGTGAGGGAACATATGGAGAAGGCCCAACGCGCCCAAGCCCAGGTCTACAATCGGGGAGCCCAGCCCCGAGAAATCCAGGTGGGAGACAGGGTGTTGGTGTTGATCCCCACGGCCGAAAGTAAGTTCCTGGCAACATGGCATGGACCATACGAGGTGGTCGAGAAACTGGGACCTGTCAACTACCGCATACCGGGCCGGGGAGACAGAAACCTCAACAGATTTACCACGTGAACCTGTTGAAGAAGTGGCACGAGAGGACAGCCTTGGCCGTGTTATGGTCGGGACCCAGGACGCCAACGGTACCAGTGGTGGTCCCGAGCAGTGAGGACCTCGACCCGGCCCAGAAGCAAGAGCTCCGGGAGCTTGTCGATCGGAACACGGTGGTGTTTTCTGAGAAGCCGGGCCGCACGACCCTCATTGAACACCACGGTAAGAAAGAGGCCGTATCGGATCCCGGAGGCCCGACGGAAGGCCGTGAAACAAGAAGTGGAGGCTGAGGATGGGGGTCATTGAAGAGTCCCACAGTGCATGGTGCAGCCCCATCGTGTTGGTGCCCAAACCGGACGGTAGCCTCCGCTTCTGTAATGATTTCCAGGGTGTGAACGACATAAGCGTATTCGACACCTACCCCATGCCGAGGGTGGACAAGCTAATCGACCGACTGGGAAAGGCCCGGTACATCAGCACCCTTGACCTGACCAAAGGATATTGGCAGGTACCATTGGCTGCCTCCTCCCGGGAGAAGATGGCGTTCTCGACACCAGATGGTCTGTACCACTACCGGGTGCTCCCGTTCGGTCTCCATTGAGCCCTGCCCACAGTCCAGCGACTGATGAACAGAGTGCTTCGACCCCACAAGCAGTATGCAGCGGCCTATCTGGATGATATCATCATCCACAGCCAAGGTTGGGAGGAGCACCTGACGCGCCTCCAGGCGGTGCTGGACGCGCTCAGACAAGCCGGGTTGACCGCAAACCCCAAGAAATGCAAGCTAGTGTTCGAGGAGGTGGAGTACTTGGGGTATTTGATCGGACAGGGGAACGTCAAGCCCCAGGAGAGGAAGGTTCACGTGGTACGTGACTGGGACGTTCCACACACCAAGACACAGGTCAAGTCCTTCCTGGGACTGGCAAGATACTATAGCCTGTTTATCCCCAACTTTGCGGCTATAGCTTCCCCCCTCACCGATCTAACCAGGGCCCGCCTCCAGAAAACAGTGAAATGGACGGACGAGACAGAAGCAGCGTTCATCCGTCTGAAGGAAGCTCTGTGCTCCCATCCGATTCTCGTAACGCCCGATTTCCAGCTGCCGATGGTGGTCCAGACGGATGCATGTGATACGGGACTAGGGGCCGTTCTGTCCCAGATACACGATGGGGAGGAGCACCCCATCATGTACATCAGCCGAAAGCTGATACCGAGAGATAAAAAATAGTAAATTGTTGAGAGAGTGTCTGGCGGTGAAGTGGGCGCTCAACTATTACCTGTTAGGTAACCTCTACACCCTGGTCACGGACCATGCTCCCCTGGTCTGGATTGCCAGGGGAAAAGACACAAACGATCGGGTCACCAGGTGATTCTTGTCCCTTCAACGCTTCTCTTTTTCTGTTGTGCACAGGTCAGGGGCGAAGCATGGAAACGCGGATGCCCTATCGAGAAGGGAGACCGACGTTGCACTGATAACCGTCCCCTCCCCGACAGAGCTGGGGGGGGGGTCAGCCACCAGGGGGAGACTCGTCGAGGCCTGGTAACAGATGGAGTATACATCACGAGGCGGTGGCTCCATCTGCTGGACGTGCCAGGTCTTGATGGGCTCTCCGGACAGGACTAATTGGGGCTGATTTGGGAGCTGGTGAGTAATTAAGGGCGGATTGCTCACCAGCTGTGCAAGGCCCATAAAGCTGCCAGAAGGGCAGCACAGGGGGAAGTAAGGTAACTTCCGTGTAGTTGGAGACGGTATCCTGGAGAGGGTCTCAAGGGGAGACCTATCCTTTTCTTTTGATTATTTTATTAATAAACACCCTTGAAACCGAGCTAATCATACTCTGTCCATGTCTGATCTGTGTAAATGTTTGTGTAACCTGTGTAACCTTTTTGATATTTTTGTCATTTAGCAGATGCTCTTATCCAGAGCGACTTACAATTAGTGAGTGCATACATTTTTCATACTGGCTGAAATAAATAATTCTCTCCACTATTATTCTGACATTTCACATTCTTAAAATAAAGTGTTGATCCTATCTGACCTAAGACAGGGAATTTTTACTAGGATTAAATGTCAGGAATTGTGAAAAACTGAGTTTAAATGTATTTGGCTAATGTGTATGTAAACTTCTGACTTCAACTGTATATATAAGTTAATTTGTCCCAATACTTTTGGTCCCCTAAAACATGGGGACTATGTACAAAAAGTGCTGTAATTTCTAAATGGTCTACCCAATATGGATGTAAATACTCTAAAATTAAAGCTGACATTCTGCACTTTAACAGCATAGTCATTGTATTATTTCAAATCAAAGTACAGAGCCAAAACAATAAATAATGTGTCACTGTCCCAATACCTTTGGAGCTCACTGTATGTGGTAACAAATACAAATAAAATCAAGTCCTTTTTTGTAACATGCAACAATCTATATGATCTAAATACTGTATCATATTTAGAGACAAATATACATTTTCTATAACATGACCTAGAGACATTGGCAGTTAGAGCAATAAGTTACAGACAAAGTCTATCAATTAAAAGCAGATCCCAAACATCATACAGAAAACTCGACCCATTGAACAACACACCCCAACTTGGTCCCATTTCTAAAACACTTGCAACCAATGAAAGAGTTTGTATGGTGATTGTTGTGAGGTAATGTGTTGCTAGGATACTCCACACGTAGATAAGGAAGATACATTACCATGAATGCAAAGTCAGATGTTTTGCCTTCTAACTCTACCTACATGTACATATTACCTCGAATAACTGGTGCCTCCGGACATTGACTCGGTACCAGTACCCCCTGTATATAGCTTCGCTATTGTTATTTTACTTTAATTATTATTATTATTAATTTATTTCTTAAAACTGCATTGTTTGTTAAGTGCTTGTAAGTAAGCATTTCACTGTAAGGTCTACACCGGCTGTATTTGGCGCATGTGACAAATTAAAATGTATTTTATTTTATTTTATTTTAATTAGCCATGTTGGATGGGTAGGCCTACAAGGCAAGCATTTACATCAGTTCTCGCTCAATTTACTACTTCTCAATGGTGTTACAACAGTGTGGAAACGCAATTGTTCTGCCGTGAACTGGCCATTGAAAGTAAATTACAACACAATTTGACTTGAATGATTCTTCCGCAGCACCCGTTCAATCTAGGTTCCAGACAGGCTCATATGAAGGTGGGATTGAGGTCTTCCTTGAAGTTGACCACAGGGTGCGTGGAGCGGCAGAGGCTGGCGAAGCCGCCGTACTCGCTGTCCGAGGAGTCTGAGGAGGAGCTGTCGCTGGAGGGGTAGGAGCCGTGTGGCAGGCAGGCGTCGCAGTAGGGTCGGTGGTGGTAGCAGTAGTCAGCCGAGATGCTGGAGTCTGAGTCCCAGTAACCATACGAGTCCCTGCCACGGTCTCGGTCTAGCCCTCCCTTGCCGCCCCCCTCACCATTTGAAGGGCCTGTGTGGGTGTGTCCTGAGAAGGGGGTGATGGAGCATTTTCGAGGGGGTGGTAGCTGGTGCTCCCACCTTGAGCCACGCCTCCCGCACCTGTTTGTTACTCTATGCCCTGCCTCTTCCCGTTCATCTGCATCACTGTCTTCAGAGCAGAGGGGACTGGTCTCTGTGCCGACAGGCTCGAGCTGGGGTTGTCTTTTTGAGGGGTGCTTGTCTGGTTGTGAGGGTCCAGCGTCCCTCCTCCTTCCCCAGACAGGAGGCTCTGACCCTGGGTAGTAACAGGGCGGAGGCCCCCCTCTGGGTTGATGGAATGGAGGTCTGCGTTTCCTCATCACGTAGGGGGAGATACTGGGATAGCGGAAGAGGAGAGGGGGATGAGGGGAGCGAGGGGTGCGAGAGGTACGGAGGGAGAGGGGAGAGAGGACCGAGGGGTCGATCGAGGACGGCAGAGTCGGGTCTCCTGATCACCCTGCTGTGATTGGGTGAGCGGAGGGCCGTTTCCATGACAGCGTCCACACTCAGTTCCTGGAGGATCTCCTGCAGATGCTCACTGCTCACAAACCCTGCCGGCCTGACGCTTGTCTCCCATGGCAACACGGGATGGCCATGGCAACCCAAGGGTTCCGAAAGAGCAGGGCCCAAACCCACCGGAAAGAGATGGGAAGAGGAAGTGACATAGTTTGACTGACAGGAGGGTGTCGTTTGTGTCCCTGCCCTCTTCCCAGGTGTCCTGACTCCTGTCCTGGAGAAAACAGAGGGCTTAGGGGAGCCTGGGAGGTTAAATCTCTCCCCTCCACACTGCTGCTGGGACCCAGTCCCCTCAACCTTACACCACCCTGTCTCATTCTCCATCCCTGCACCCTGGATGTCTTGACCAAATTCTACACTCCACTGTTTAACTCTCGCACCATCCCCTGGGGGAAGAGAGAGGGCAGGAGGGGGAGGAGTAGAGAGAGGAGCAGAGGGAGATTCAGAAGGAGGTGTACAGACAGCAGAAGTAGTGGGAAGAGCAAACAGAGGAGGTAGAGGAAAGGGAGGAGAGGAGAGGGGAGGTTCTGCTATGTCCCTCTGTGGTAGGGGAGTTGGAAGGCAGTCGGACTGCACAACTGTGGTCTGGGTGGATGAGGAGTGGAGGTTGGTGATGGAAGAGTCCATTTCCTGGTCCTCGTTGGGGTGGCTACTGGACATGAGGCGCAGTAGCTTGTCTTTGGCATTGTTCACCTGCTCCTGCAGACTGTCAATCACAGCATTCTTCTGCAAAATGACAACAACAAGCTTTAAAATCCCCTTCAATACAAAAAACATAATCAACAACAATCTGGGACCTAAAGAGTCAGGTTAAAGGTTAACCTAAAGATGGGTTAGGGTTAAAGGTTATATGTGAAGTTAGTTAGTGATGAATAGAAGAGTATTCAGAATACAAAGTAAATTAGTTTAGGTAGGTATGTATTCTAGTGTTGAGGGGTCACAGAGATTATGTTGAATACAGGACCATGTAGGGACCTTTTTAGTAAGTAAGGGGGAGCTTCACTACCCTTTATAACCATTAGAGGGCAAGTGAGGGTTAAAATACTACATCGCCTACATACTGAGACTACCTCATTGAGGAGCCTCTTCATAGAGTTGTTCTCTCCCAGTAGATAGTAGATCTCATCCTGGCTGTAGACAGAGTGGACACTCTTTCTGGGGCTGCTGAAGTACTTCGCCATTTGACTAGGGTTGTTGTGCTCCTCCTCAAACCGACGCCACTGGGTCAACTGGGAAGAGGGAGGGGAGAGAGTGAGAGAGGAAGGGGGGGGATTATGATGGCTAGTCGAATAACTGTCAGACAAGTGTGCCACACCCTTGGAATCTCCAGGTGTGTGTGTGTGTCTGGGAGTGTGTTGCTCATTGTTAAAGTACTTCCTTCCTTTCCGTCCAGGATGCATTCCTGTACCATAGCATCAGCTCACCACCAGCTACTTATGGGGAGTCATCCTGTTGGGGGAGGATGCAGCGTGTTGACTCATGGAGAGCATATGTGTTTTTTTATGAGTCACACTCCCTTGTTAACACACAAAGAGACACACAGACACAAACACACACACAGAGGGACACACACACACACACACACACACACACTCACACACAGAGGGACACACACACACACACACACACACAGAGGGACACACACACACACAGAGGGACACAAACACACTATGGTGAGGTATGGGAAACACTCACGTAGCCACTCGAATTGGGGGTTTCTGTCTGTCTGTCTGTCTGTCTGTGATGTGTAGGGGCACGTCGACCTCGTCATACTCGTATTCGTAATAGTATCTGTTTTATCACCCTTGATACTCGTAATCGGATTTACTCGTGATCGGAAAACCCGGAAGTGCACTTTAAATGCAGCCAGGTCACCCATGATACAAGTCAGTATTCTACGTCCAGTCATGTCTGAGGATGTCGGGAGATAACGTTGAAACCGGCCACTAGGGGCAACAGTGAGCGCTGTTACCCTCAAATAGGGATGGTGGATGGGTGTAAGCATCTGTCTCTGATTCCAATCGAACGTTTTGTTTTTGCCTATCCTGAACCTTAACCCTTACCTTAACCATTCAGAGTTAATGCCTAACCTTAAGGTGACTCTGTACCGGCACGCCCTGTATATTGCCTCATTGTTGTGATTTTATTTTGTTACTTTCTATTTTATTTTTTACGTTAGTTTATTTAGTAAATATTTTCTTAACTCTATTTCTTGAACTGCATTGTTCGTTAAGGGCTTGTAAGTAAGCATTTTCATGGTAAGATCTACACCTGTTGTATTCGGCGCATGTGGCAACTACAATTTTATTTTATTTGATTTGATTTCGGAGTTAATGCCTAAACGTAACCCTATCTTTAAACATTTGGAGTTAATGCCTAAACTTAACGTTGAACATTTCGAAATTTGACGTTTGAGAAACATGGATAAATGTCTCATTTTGAAGTGAGACTGTGGGAGCTAGTTGTTTAAATGCCAGTAAAGCCTATACCTCAAGTGTGCATTACTGTGCTATCACTCAGAGTGCATCTCAGAGCACATTGTTATGTTCCTTCACTCATTCACACACATTGTTATACGACCCCGACAGATGAAAATGCACATGATTTACTTACTTAGTCCTATTCAATTATCAACAGAATAGGCACAAACATTGCCTAATGCATGGCTGGCTACTACTGCCTGCATTTATTCCAGACAGATTTAGATGAAGGTAGGCTAATTCGCTTGCCCCATATATTGTTTCACTTTCGAAAGGAGCAAAACTTCTCTCCCGACACTTATGCCACAACATTTGCACACTAGAAATAAACAATCAACATTTGTCATTTAATTTTCTAATGATCTGTCGCTCTGTAAACATGCCTGGGCAAAATAAATAATAATAGCAAGAAAGTATGGGCTTGTTATACAGCTTGTTCTAATCCAATCGTTGCAGCAGGCTCAACCGATACCCCGCCTGATCTTTACAGACAGAAAAGCTAGCCAATAGTTGTTTAGAGAACACAGCACTTCACACTGTTTGAGCGAAAGAGAAATGCGTGCTGGCAGCTGAAAATTACTTTTTTCCGATCACGGATAATTACAAGAAATACTAATCGTATTCGGAATATTCTCCATATCGTTACAATCCTCGTTTTGTCAGTGTACTCGGCACACCCCTAGTGATGTGCGTTAACTGTCTCTCTCACCTGAGGTAAAAACAGCATACAGTTGGTGGCAAGGGTACAGATGAAGATGGCTCCAGCCACCACACTATAGACCACATTAGGCCAGGCCTGCAGGAACCGCGCCACCGGGACCACCACCGCCGTGGACAGGGTGACCAGGCTGACCGCGGTCATGATAGTGGGGGACTGGTTGACCGGAGGCAGGCTGACGTTGCTGGTCAGACCGGCCAGGTAGGTCCCATACAGGAGCATGCTACCCTGGAGAGACCGCAACACAACCACATAACGTTCATGACATGTTTACTATGACAAACCAACACAAACTCAGAGGAAACAGCTACTATTTGCTCTCTTATGTTTATCTGAGTATTTCTCCCAGTTGTATGTTTTACCTTCATCAGAGCGAGGAGGATAACCCACAGGTCTGAGTAGAGAGAGGAACAGGAGTCCAGCTGAGACAGAGAGTAGGACACGTCCCTCTCCACCACCTTGACCACAGCCCCAATGGACCGTGCACATTTGACCGGGTCGGTTAGACTCCAGGCGGTGAGAACCAGCAGGTCCACCAGAATCAACAGAGATACCAAGCCCATCAACTGGATGTCTCTGATGATCTGAAACACACAGAGTTCAGTAATACACTGTGCAACACATACACTCTACGACACACAGATCCTTTATTACAAGCCTTTACCCCCCCCCCCAAATTTTTTTAAAAAAAAATAACACATGCACAAAGGAGGAGTGACATGAGATACAACACCACAACACACACTTCGACCAGAGAGACAGAGTGAGAGGAGGAGCCTGCTTACCACTCTCTTGTCAGGCATGCGTTGGGTGAATACTCTGTAGAGCCGCCATGTTTTCCCCAGGATGGGCCCAAAGACCAGAGTGCTGCCAATACACAAAGTCCAGATCCTGGCCTAGGATACACCACAGTAACAATCCATAATATCACACAGCATGGCATCATCAGAACAATGTGTATGTCTGTGTGTGTGTGTGTCTGTGTTGGAGTGTGTGTGTGTGTGTCTGTGTGTGTGTGTGTGTCTGTGTGACACTTCAGCTCCACTATAAGCGTTGTGTTGCTTTGCCATCAGCGTCACGTCACTGTGACGTTCTACCTGCTACACAGAGCATGTTGTTTTGAGAGGAGCAGAGAGGAAGAGTGTAGCTGGGCAGTGACTGTGTCTTACCTGTAGTATTGTTCTCGCTCCTCCCCCTTGTAGGTGGGTGCGTTCCTCAAAAGCAAAAAGGAAGCCACTGCTGTAGGTGAGGATACTTCCACACAGAGTCAGCACATTGAGGTTAGGACTGGACATCTTCACTATCCTGAGACAGAGAGAAACACACACACAGATCAACAAAATAAAGGTAAGACTGTTCACGCCTGTGTATCGATTTGAGCATGTGCATATGCTTTTAAACGTGTGTATGTGTGTGTGTGTGTGTGTGTGTGTGTGTGTGCGTGTGTGTGTGTGTGTGTGTGTGTGTACCTGTTGTTCTTGAAGCGCAGGGTGAAGAGCAGGAAGCAGAATGCCAGCAAGATGCCACAGGAGAGCATGGTCCAGACCACTGCACAGAGCACAGGGGAGAGAGACCGCCTCTGCAGCTCCACTCCCATCTACAGTAGATATCAATCCCATTTCAATTAGGAGTTCTTCATGAATAAGAAACATGAGTAATTACCTAAACTTTAGGTATGTGTGTGTTTGTGTATGTTTTTAATGTGTTAAAATTATTGTATGTGTTTTTGCTGCTATCATTTGCTTTCTGGAATGATTGGAGTATGCCCAAAACCTTCAACATGTTCTGTTAAGTGTTTATTTTGATCACCTAAAAATTTTATTGAACAGAAATTTGCAAGCCCAATGCACAGAAAACAGACTACCTTTATGAACCTTTATTCATATTCAATATATCTTGATTAAATCAACTACACAATACATAAGATCGAGAAAATATATCTTATTGCAAAACAAATAAAACTGACACAACACTCAGGCCTTTTCTCATTTGAACAAAAGTCCATCCTCCACCCTCCCTCCTCTGTCCTCTCTCCAGGGGTGGAAAAAGTACCCAATTGTCATAGTTCAGTAAAAGTAAAGATACCTTAATAGAAAATGACTGTAAAAGTGAAAGTCACCCAGTAAACTACTACTTGAGTAAAAGTCTAAAAGTATTTGGTTTTAAATATACTTAAGTATCAACAGTAAATGTAATTGATCAAATATACTTAAGTATCAAAATTAAAAGTAAAAGTATAAATAATTTCAAAGTCCTTATATTAAGCGAACCAGACGGCATCATTTTCTTGTTTTTATTTTATTTATGGATAGCCAGGGGCACGCTCCAACACTCAGACATAATTGACAAATGAAGCATGTGTTTAGTGAATCCACCAGATAAGAGGCTGTAGGGATGACCAGGGATGTTATTTTGATAATTGTGTGAATTAGACCATTTTATTGTCCTGCTAAGCATTCAAAATGTAATTAGTACTTTTGGGTGTCAGGGGAAATGTATGGAGTAAAAAGTACATCATTTTCTTTAGGAATGTAGTGAAATAAAAGTAAAAGTTGTCAAAAATATTAATATTAAAGTAAAGTACAGATACCCCAAAAAACGACTTAAGTAGTACTTTCAAGTATTTTTACTTAAGTACTTTACACCACTGCCTCTCTCCTCCGTCCTCTTTCCTCCGTGACCCGGAAACCGATAAGTGGTTGATTGGACGAGGAGATTGTCAATTTGTTAGTAGGCAAACGAAAGACGGTCCTCCCCTCCTTTAAGAAATGGAACACTAGTCACTTTAATAATGTTTACATATCTTGCACTACTCATCTCATATGTACAGTGGGGAAAAAAAGTATTTAGTCAGCCACCAATTGTGCAAGTTCTCCCACTTAAAAAGATGAGAGAGGCCTGTAATTTTCATCATAGGTACACGTCAACTATGACAGACAAAATGAGAATTTTTTTTCCAGAAAATCACATTGTAGGATTTTCAATGAATTTATTTGCAAATTATGGTGGAAAATAAGTATTTGGTCAATAACAAAAGTTTCTCAATACTTTGTTATATACCCTTTGTTGGCAATGACACAGGTCAAACGTTTTCTGTAAGTCTTCACAAGGTTTTCACACACTGTTGCTGGTATTTTGGCCCATTCCTCCATGCAGATCTCCTCTAGAGCAGTGATGTTTTGGGGCTGTCGCTGGGCAACACAGACTTTCAACTCCCTCCAAAGATTTTATATGGGGTTGAGATCTGGAGACTGGCTAGGCCACTCCAGGACCTTGAAATGCTTCTTACGAAGCCACTCCTTCGTTGCCCGGGCGGTGTGTTTGGGATCATTGTCATGCTGAAAGACCCAGCCACATTTCATTTTCTATGCCCTTGCTGATGGAAGGAGATTTTCACTCAAAATCTCACGATACATGGCCCCATTCATTCTTTCCTTTACACGGATCAGTCGTCCTGGTCCCTTTGCAGTAAAACAGCCCCAAAGCATGATGTTTCCACCCCCATGCTTCACAGTAGGTATGGTGTTCTTTGGATGCAACTCAGCATTCTTTGTCCTCCAAACAAGACGAGTTGAGTTTTTACCAAAAAGTTCTATTTTGGTTTCATCTGACCATATGACATTCTCCCAATCCTCTTCTGGATCATCCAAATGCACTCTAGCAAACTTCAGTCGGGCCTGGACATGTACTGGCTTAAGCAGGGGGACACGTCTGGCACTGCAGGATTTGAGTCCCTGGCGGCGTAGTGTGTTACTGATGGTAGGCTTTGTTACTTTGGTCCCAGCTCTCTGCAGGTCATTCACTAGGTCCCCCTGTGTGGTTCTGGGATTTCTGCTCACCGTTATTGTGATCATTTTGACCCCACGGGGTGAGATCTTGCGTGGGGCCCCAGATCGAGGGAGATTATCAGTGGTCTTGTATGTCTTCCATTTACTAATAATTGCTCCCACAGTTGATTTCCTCAAACCAAGCTGCTTACCTATTGCAGATTCAGTCTTCCCAGCCTGGTGCAGGTCTACAATTTTGTTTCTGGTGTCCTTTGACAGCTCTTTGGTCTTGGCCATAGTGGAGTTTGGAGTGTGACTGTTTGAGGTTGTGGACAGGTGTCTTTTATACTGATAACAAGTTCAAACAGGTGCCATTAATACAGGTAACGAGTGGAGGACAGAGGAGCCTCTTAAAGAAGAAGTTACAGGTCTGTGAGAGCCAGAAATCTTGCTTGTTTGTAGGTGACCAAATACTTATTTTCCACCATAATTTGCAAATAAATGCATTAAAAATCTTACAATGTGATTTTCTGGATTTTTTTAAATCAATTTGTCTGTCATAGTTGACGTGTACCTACGATGAAAATTACAGGCCTCTCTCATCTTTTCAAGTGGGAGAACTTGCACAATTGGTGGCTGACTAAATACTTTTTTCCCCCACTGTATACTGCATTCTATTCTATAATATTCTACTGTATCTTAGTCCATGCTGCTCTGTCATTGCTTGTCCATATATGTATATATTCTTAAATCCCATTCCTTACTAGTTTTGTGTGTATTGGGTATATGTTGTGAAATTGTTAGATATTACTTGTTAGATATTATTGCACTGTCGGAGCTAGAAGCACAAGCATTTCGCTACACCCGCTATAACATCTGCTAAACACGTGTATGTGACAAATACAATTTGATTTGATTTGATTGGCGAGGAAGCACAAGTGTATGCTACCAGAGTCTTTTGCTGAAGAGTTTTGAAATCAGCCACTCCCCATTTGAACCAGCTATTGTTTCCTCAAAGGAGAAAAGCATGCAAACATTTAAAAATAATATCCTACTTTTCCTTTTATCTATTAAATGTCTTGCAGAACCAGCTACATTTGTTTTTATCACTTCATGCATTTATTTTGGGATTCTACCCTGTGAACATAATTTGCCTGATGACGCGCGATTTCATGCAAGCGCATTTTAGTCCACTTTCCCTCTCCTCGCCGCCTCTCCTTGATTACCTTTGACCTTTTTCAAAAGAGGCCAGAGAGGACAGAGGAGAGAGGATGTAGGAGTTGAGCAAACAAAATGAGAATAGGCCTCAGTGTCCTCTTCTAAAAAGAGGTGAAATGTTAAGGTGAGGAGGTGAGGTCACTGACGGGAGAGTTGACCGCACCATTATTCTTTCAGGGGTTGAAGTATGGACAGAGTCCCTCTGCGAAGATGTAACTGTGAATGAGTAGATATGAGACTTGGATTCCACATCATAAAATGACACATGCCCCGCTTCCCAGTCCACATACACCCCCACCCTCTGCGGCTTCTCGACCAGTGGCAGGGGGACAGGGGGGGTCGTCAGAGCCCAGTACTCAGGCCTACTGTCCAGTAGCCACGCTCAGGGTTTAGGGTTTAGGGCAGGGTTCTTCAATTCCGGTCCTGGAGGGCCGAGACACCTCTGTTTTTCACCCTCTCCTTCTAATCAGGGGCTAATTCAGACCTGGGACACCAGGTGAGTGCAATTAACTACCAGGTAGAAATAAAAAACAGAAGTGTTTCGGCCCTACAGGACCGGAATTGAAGAACCCTGGTATAGGGTATTCCCTCGTTTCTTGTTGACAGACTCTCTCCCTACTCCTATGTCCCACTCGGTCTTCCCCTTCACCTGCACCTTGTAGTACAACCTCCCTGAGGAGAAGCCCTCCTTCCTCAGGACACTGACACAAGGGTAAAACCTCTCGGGGTTGTCAGGGAGGTTCAGCACTGTGTTGCCGTGTGCCACTTGTTTACCGTTGTCAGAGAGGATGAGTTTAGGGGGAGCTGTATCAGGGTCAAGGGTCACATCCACGGCACACTGCTGAATTCTTGTAAATTCTGTGTCACATAATCTTTTCACTTCATTCTTCACTGACTTCTCAAACTGGGACCCAGCTCTACTCACAGCTCTCCTCACTGTTCTTACATACACAACACTTTGAACACTGATCTCAGACCAGTTCCTGGTGGGAGGAGGGGTGCACAGGGATGGGAAGCTATGGATGATGTGAAGGTTGTCCTTAGTGTGTGAGAGCTGCTCCAGCTCAGTGTCTCTCCTTCAGCCCGCCTCTCTGCTGCTTTCTGCTTCTCCCCAATCACCTCAATGAGCTCAGCCTGGCTTCTCTGAATGGAGCGCACCAGAGCAGTAAAGACCTACAAGCTCTCCCTAATCTCTCTCTCTGCATTTATTCTGCCTGATTGTACTGTGTTTTTGATGTCCTTCACTTTCTGCAGTCGACCCTGAATCATCTGCTGCATTACATCTTCCATATTCCCCAGATGAGCCATCCTCTCTCTGTTTTCTTACTCCAAAGGGACAATGTTGTGTTTCTTGAGTCTTTTCTCAGTGCAGACCTGACACACGTACGTCTGGTTACTTCTACAGAACAGCTCAAGAAGCTTCTGGTGCCTCTTACACACGCCGTCCTCCATTTTCATCACAGGCTTGATCAGATTGTGTTTCTTGAAGATGGCCAGTACGTGGTGAGGCTCCAAGTGAATCTCACAGTAAGAGGCCCAATACTCCAGGCAGGACTTCAAGGCCTTGACTTTCCTCTCAGAGCAGATGTCACAGGGTACCTCTCCACGTTGGGCAGCTTGAGGTTGGGCTTGGTCCAGTGGTTGGTCCTGGGTAATAGTAGCAGTAGCACTCATTTCAACTGACCTCCTGAACTGATCGGCCATCTCAGATTTGGGACACTGACACGGGCTGGTGGTATGCCAGTACCCATGTATGCAGTCCTTGTTGTGTCCACATGGGGTTGGGCTGGTGAACACGTCTAGACAGATGGGGCACAGGAACTGTTCCTCAGACAGCAGGCTGCTGGTGGAAGTCATGTCTGGGTCTGGGAAGAGATCCAAAAATAAACCACATGGGACTTTATGAAATCTGTTGGCTCTTGACACTGGAATTTTTTTACTGGAATTTCTTCTCTAGTGTACAGTAGTAGACAACCACATTATGCAGTTATGCCCAACTAGCTTTCGCAATACATGTAAACAGTAGTACTAACGTATCATTATGGTTTTATACTTTTTTCAGAAATATGGTGTTTAGGAACAAATGTTTATTAAGAGATTAAAACAAGAAAGGGCACTGTGAGGACGTTCCCACTTGTTCAATCTGTCTCTAAATCAAGACTACAGCATAACACAGTGAAGTGTAATGTAATACAAAAACACAATTTAAGTGTATTTACAGTGGGGGAAAAAAGTATTTAGTCAGCCACCAATTGTGCAAGTTCTCCCACTTAAAAAGATGAGAGAGGCCTGTAATTTTCATCATAGGTACACGTCAACTATGACAGACAAAATGAGAAAATAAATCCAGAAAATCACAATGTAGGATTTTTTATGAATTTATTTGCAAATTATGGTGGAAAATAAGTATTTGGTCAATAACAAAAGTTTCTCAATACTTTGTTATATACCCTTTGTTGGCAATGACACAGGTCAAACGTTTTCTGTAAGTCTTCACAAGGTTTTCACACACTGTTGCTGGTATTTTGGCCCATTCCTCCATGCAGATCTCCTCTAGAGCAGTGGTTTTGGGGCAGTGGCTTTGGGGCTAGCCTGGTGCAGGTCTACAATTTTGTTTCTGGTGTCCTTTGACAGCTCTTTGGTCTTGGCCATAGTGGAGTTTGGAGTGTGACTGTTTGAGGTTGTGGACAGGTGTCTTTTATACTGATAACAAGTTCAAACAGGTGCCATTAATACAGGTAACGAGTGGAGGACAGAGGAGCCTCTTAAAGAAGAAGTTACAGGTCTGTGAGAGCCAGAAATCTTGCTTGTTTGTAGGTGACCAAATACTTATTTTCCACCATAATTTGCAAATAAATTCATTAAAAATCGTACAATGTGATTTTCTGGAGAAAAAAATTCTCAATTTGTCTGTCATAGTTGACGTGTACCTATGATGAAAATTACAGGCCTCTCTCATCTTTTTAAGTGGGAGAACTTGCACAATTGGTGGCTGACTAAATACTTTTTTCCCCCACTGTATGCCCTTCATGATATTTATAACTGGGCTATGACAGGTGTTGAAACTTGAATAAACAACACAACATAACTAAGGCCCTGTGTTCTGAGCAATCACGTGAAATAGGAAGATTATATCTTGCATTTAAAAGCCTTATCCATAAATGAGAATTACACAAAAAATTAAAGCAATTCTCTGAGGATGGTGCTGGATCATCTGATATAAAAAGAAATGGGGACAGTTTGATGAAAAAGCTTTGAATATAGGTTAAAAACCAGGCATGTCACATGATTGTGCAAGACACAAGGCCCTAAACATAACATACAACAGACGCAATGCAGCACAAATGAAATAACCTGTAAAAAAGGCCATGCCTTTGAACGTGTCTTTCCCCACAGTTCCGTTAGGGTGAGTTCTCCCCTTCTCAGCTGTCTATCACAGCCTCCTGGTTTCCACCAATCAGAGTGCCCGAATGCACATTTGGACTTTGACCCCTCCCACTCCAGGTCAGAATGGCTATCACTGTCGGCAGATGAAGACGCAAGTTCCCAAGGGCCGGTATTTATATGCCCTCAAAAGAAAGGTCGGTGGATCAAGATTCAATGGTCAGATTAGGAAGGAAGAGGTGGTGTTTGCTCGATTGCGCTTAGGACATTGTACATTGAACTCGTCATTACATCTGATTGGCAAGCATGTGAATGGTTTGTGTCTGGAGTGTATGGTCGATGAAATGGTGGCGCATGTGTTGTTATATTGTTGTAAGTATGTTGAAGAGAGGTAAAGATTGAAGCGTACGGTCATTAAGGTTGGACGGGTTGGGGGGGTTGGAAGGGATTTTGGGGATGGGGGAGGGTCTATTAGAAGTTAGCAGGGCTCTTTTTGATTTTCTCAGAAGTACTGAGTTAGGTAGGAGGATTTAGACATTTAGACTCCTTTAATGATGGTTTGCGGACCACCATTATATCATAGAAGAAGAAGACGTACGTTTGGCTGCCGACTAAGTTATCAGTGTGTTTACTAGGAAGATTGTGCATGCGTCCACTAAAAGTCCATTCCTACGTATATAGCACAAACATCACTTCTATGTGTTTGTGTGTGCTAATGTGTGGTGGTGAACAAGAGCCAATAAAACTCTATATATAGACACATCTGCCTTGTTCTTGACGGACAGCCTGTAGCGAGTCAGTATCTTAACAATCAGCAATAAGTAGTAGCGGGTGAGGGCATTCACAGCCGACCGCTCAGATGAGCTCCAGCTAGCCGTTTTTACAAACTTCCACTCACCTGTGTGTGTGTTCAGAAGAGTAGCCGTGTCAAAGTCAGTACATTTTGTACTCTTTTACTCTTCTAGAGAGATATGTGAGGAAATGTAGCTATGTCTAAGCATAAAGTTCTCCAGTCTCACTTTAGAGTGACATTATCATGGCTTGTCCCTGTCCCTTACTGCTAAGCTGTACTGCAGCTGCTCTCAAAGGTACAGTACATGGATGAATTAACCCTTAACATGGCTCTGTCAGCTGAACCATGTATCTTTATGGTTGCCATTTATCCAATACCTTCACACTTTCTGTTCATATTATGTAGGAGTTCATAAAGCTGTTTTTGTTGTAGCCACAGAAGATTTACTGAGAATTTGACCAAATAACAAAGATATCGAAAAGCAGTGTGCCCATTTCAGATCATTTTAATGCAAAGATGATTAAATGTAATATTTTCACACACTCTTTTCAAGATATATATGCATATATTGGGGCAGGATTAGTAAGGAGCTACATTTTCAGTATGTCATCATACAATCGTAAAAGACATCACAATACACTCCAGCAAATGTGATTCTTAGCAAGATACAATCTATACATCTACACTTAACGTATAATAATGTGAATTGTTGGTCCCATGTTCCATGAGCTGAAATAAAAGATTCCAGACATTTTCCATACGCACAAAAAGCTTATTTCTCTCAAATTGTGTGCACAAATTAGCTTACATCCCTGTTAGTGAGCATTTCTCCTTTGCCAAGATAATCCATCCACCTGACAGGTGTGGCATATTAAGAAGCTCATTAAACAGTATGATCATTACACAGGTGCACCTTGTGCTGGGTAAAATAAAAGGCCACTCTAAAATGTGCAGTTTTGTCACACAACACAATGCCACAGATGTCTCAAGTTTTGAGGGAGCGTGCAATTGGCGTGCTGACTGCAGGAATGTCCACCAGAGCTGTTGCCAGATAATTTAATGTTCATTTCTCTACCATAAGCTTCCTCCAACATCGGTTTAGAGGATTTGGCAGTACATCAAACCAGGATTGGATGGATACATGTTGGCTGGGTGGGGTTGGGGAAATGGGATGAGTGGCGCAGTGGTCCAAGGCACTGCATCGCAGTGCTAGCTGTGCCACTAGAGATCCTGGTTCGAATCCAGGCTCTGTCGTAGCCGGCCGCTACCGGGAGACCCATGGGGCGGCGCACAATTGGCCCAGCGTCGTCCAGGGTAGGGGAGGGAATGGCCGGCAGGGATGTAGCTCAGTTGGTAGAGCATGGCGTTTGCAACGCCAGGGTTGTGGGTTCGATTCCCACGGGGGGCCAGTATGAAAAATTTAAAAATAATGTATGCACTCACTAACTGTAAGTTGCTCTGGATAAGAGCGTCTGCTAAATGACTAAAATGTAAATGTAATGAGAGGTTGGGGGTGTGAAATAATGAATTGAGAATATGATTTTAAATATTATACCTGTAACCCCCTCAACAACAACAAAAAAGATACAATTTATACCTCTCTAGTGATTGAATATTAATCAATGTATGGAATGTCCTGTTCTTTAGAATGTCAATGACACATGAGTGATATCTCAATCAGATTGGCTCACAGAAGAGATGATCAATGGTGCTGACATTTTATCAATGCCACAAACCCCAAGGTTGAAGTATGGGTAAAGTTTGTCAGTGAAGGTACAACCAGTAAACAAGTAGATATGAGACCTGGTATGAGCATCGTACAAGGAGACCTCACCCTCTTCATAGTCCACATAGACACCTATCGTCTGGGGCTTGTTACTCAGGGAGAGGGGGGTAGGGTCTGTGGTGCAGGCCTGGTAGACATTCCCTTTCCCCAGCTGGACAGTCCAGAGTCCATTCTCAGGCTTTGCTGCAATAACCTTTCTGTTGATGGTCTCTCTGGCCACTCCAACACTCCAGAGAGTATTTCCCTTCACCTGCACCTCGTAGTAGAATCTCCCTGAGGAGAAGCCCTCCTTTCCCAGGACGCTGGAAATGTAGGAGAACCTTTCTGGGTTGCCGGGGAGGTTTTGTCTTCTACCGGCATGTCTTGCTTGTTTCGTATCTTCAGAGAGGAGGAGATTGTGGTGGGCAGTATCAAGGTCCAGAGTTACATCTACTGACCACTGTTGTATCATTTTCAGCTCAGCATCACACAACCTCTTCACTTCCTTGTTCAGTGTCTCTTCAAACTGAGAGCCAGCTCTCCTCGCAGCGTTCCTCACCGTCCCGATATACTCGACACTCTGAATCCTGATCTCCGACCAGTCCTTGGTGGGTAGAGCGTTGCACAGGGATGGGAAGCTCTGGAGGAGGTGCAAATAGTCTCTGGTGTGTGAGAGCTGCTCTAGCTTAGAGTGTCTCTGCTTTAGCTCAGTGATTTCCGTCTCCAGCTCTTTAATGAGCCCTTCAGCCTGCCTCTCCGCTGCTTTCTGCTTCTCCTCAATCACCTCAATAAGCACAGTCTGGCTACTCTTAATGGAGCGCATCAATTCTGTAAAGACCTGCAAGCTTTCCTTTATCTCTTTCTCTGCATTTCTTTTGTTGGACTGTACTGTGCCTTTAATCTCCTTAACTTTCTGCAGTCGACCCTGAATCATTTGCTTCACTTCAACGTCCATATTTTCCAGCTGAGCTTTAATGTCCCTGCTTTCGTACACTAGAGAGACGATGTTGTGGGCATTGTGGTCAGTCTCTGTGCAGAACTGACACACATATGTCTGGTCAGTCTTACAAAACTGCTCCAGAGGTCTATCATGCCTCTTACACAATCGTTCTTCAAGATTCCCCACAGGGTTGATTAGGTTGTGTTTCTTTAAAGCTGTGACTTTCTTATGAGGCTCCAGGTGAGTCTCACAGTAAGAAGCCTGACAATCTGGACAAGACTTAATGGCCTTGGCATTCCCTCCAATGCAGAAGTCGCAGTTCACTTCTCCAGCTCCAGGTTTGGCTGCCGCCTGCTCCAAGGAGTTGGTGTCATTCCCTTGAGCTGAACCCCAGAACTGAGCAACCATATCAGAAATGAAAGTATTAACCTTTAGCTCAGGTCTTTTGGGGAATTTGTGCTTACACAGTGGACACTGGCACATGACATTGGTTCTCCAGTATTCGTTGATACAAGCCATGCAGAAGTTGTGGTACCGCATGGGATTGTGACTGGTTTCTTGAAAACATCCAGACAGACAGAGCAAAGGAATTGATCTTCAGACAGCACAGTGCTAAATGACGCCATGCCTGCGAACAAACCGAAAGTGAAATCAACTTTATAATCTGTGTCATTTTAGCATTTACTAAATAAGTACGCTTATGTATTTCCTTCTCTATTCTTTTATTTGATTTATTAAATAAACAATAAAGCAGGAATTTTAAACACAGTGCAAAGAAGAGAAGCTATGATACATAAGAATAATTGGAATATTTGCTCTCTCTCCTCTCCACTGGGCACACCCTGGTTAGGTTGGACGTTGAATTGAAGTCTGTGCCCAGTTGGTTCTTACCTGAGACGATGCGTGTTGTTGACTGATCTTTCTTTTCTCTTGAATCCCGAGGACTCTGAGTGCAGGAGACTTAGTGCAAGTGCTCAATGAAATGTATAAGGAGAAAGTGTGTTCGGGTCCTCAACATTCAGCTCTGCTGTTTACTTTCATTTCAGCACCAGGCTCCTCCTGACACCACATTGCAAGTCATTGAGCTCCCGTTTACATCTCTTAAAGGAGCAGATACATTTTTATATTGGTGAACTCACTACATACTTTTTTTCACTGTTATAATACAATTATACCATAAAAATATCACAATGTTCACATTATATGTTATTAGTTTAGCTCATTAAATTGAATAGAGATCATTTAGAAGGGTGTAACACCAACCTTAAACCTGACCCTCCCACTGGGGATGGATGACTATCCACGTTGGTGCAACGTAATTTTATTGAAATGACGTGGTAACAACGTTGATTCAACCACTGTGTGCCCAGTGGGCTGACACTTTGGGCAATGGGCACAGAGGTCAATACAAAAGCAACTGTTTGTGTGTGTGCATGTGTGTGTGTTTACCGTGCTGAGGGTACATAGTCTCTGCAGTATCTCCAGGCCCTTCTTTGTATTGACTCCAGGGTGGATGAGGCAGAGTCTGGAGTCACAGTAAGAGCTGCAGTTCCGCTCTGACTCCATGGCTGGACCCAGTCTGTCAGCCCTCATACACACATCCTGAGGAACAACATATATCTGTCATTAGCTATTTCAACACACTACAATACTACGTACAGACACTTACACATAAACAGAGAGGAGAGAGATACAGACATATCTTTAATACCACGCTTAAATGTGTATAATAACACGCAAACTCCTTTTCTCTCTTCCCATTCTCCCACCAGGGTAGAAATATTGAATTGGGGATGCAACATCACATTGTTTTATAATACACAGGAGTGCAGAAGTAATGCTAGATAGAAACCTATAGCCAAGTCTCTCCCATTCCCTCAGCACAGAATACAGCTGCTCAATGCTCACCACAGGCTGGAGCCAAGTCTCTCCCATTCCCTCAGCACAGAATACAGCTGCTCAATGCTCACCACAGGCTGGAGCCAAGTCTCTCCCATTCCCTCAGTACAGAATACAGCTGCTCAATGCTCACCACAGGCTGGAGCCAAGTCTCTCCCATTCCCTCAGCACAGAATACAGCTGCTCAATGCTCACCACCGGGTGGAGCCAAGTCTCTCCCATTCCCTCAGCACAGAATAAAGCTGCTCAATGCTCACCACAGGCTGGAGCCAAGTCTCTCCCATTCCCCCAGCACAGAATACAGCTGCTCAATGCTCACCACAGGGTGGAGCCATTACAAAGGTCCCCACCCCACTGAACAGGGCAGGAATGGTTTTAGCAGCGGCCGGTCACACTACTCATGGGAAGTGTAGTGTAGTCTAAGGGGAAACACACTGACAGTGAACATAGAAACATTAGATTCATATAGGAGTGTGCGGTAGGTAGGCAGGTATGAGTGTGCAGCAGGTAGCATAGTGGTTAAGAGCATTGGGACGGTAACCAAATGGTCTCTGGTTGAATCCCTGAGCCGACTAGGTGAAAAAATCTGTCTGTGCCCCTTGTGCAAGGCACTTAACCCTAATTGCTCCTCTAAGTCACTCTGGATAAGAGCGTCTGCTAAATTACTCAAATGTAAATGTTAAATTAATGTGACAGACAAATTACACAGCTATTCCAGCTTTGTGAATAAGGGTAGATTGGACACAGAAAATTCCCACAGAAACTTCAGGAAAGCTACTGGGAAAGGCAACGCTTAGAAGGCCACAGCGAGGTCTGACCAAACCTGACTAAGAGCACAGGATATGGCCAATTTGAGAGGAAGATTGCATGCTTCTGCTTGTCCTCAGTCTACACAAAACAGCACAGAGCTGAACAACACAATACATGACCACACTTCAGAGAGAAGCATTTAGATGTCTGTGAGAGTCTATTTATTGTGCACTAGTTTCACTGTAATATCATAATGTTCTATGTGACCTGCCCGGACACCACAGATGTTAATGAGCTTGACAGGTAACTTACAACGCAAGGCAGTGGTTCTGCATATAAGTGAGTGGTCTGGTCCCTGTCAAATAAACAACAAATACATATATAAACCAGAACATGCATCAGCTAGAAGAACCATATTATTATTTTAGGCATTTTTATGAGGTTACACCTGGGTTGCACTGACATGTCGCTGATATAATTATGTACAATTGTACATGACATCATACAATGTTTAGATCTGTCTTCAACAGTACCCCTTTAACAACCACACTGACTCATTGGCTACGTGTCGTTTGTGTACATCTATATGTCTGTCTATAGTTGATATTTGTGTGTATGTGCATATATGCGTTTGTGTGTGAGTGTGTGTGTGTGTCTGTGTCTGTACCTGGGTCTAGATTAACGTGTTTATGTGTGTCCTTATTGACAAGTGTGTGTGTACAGTGGCGGCTCCTGAAAAAATTCTCAGGAGGGGCAATTTTTCTGATGATTTAGGTGACCTACACACATTTTAAAAAAGATATGTCCAGCAACAACATGAAGACAGGGGCAGCATATAAGTCAATACCAGAAGCATTTATTGACTGATCTGGGGAGATGGATTCCAGTTTCTGTGACAGATTATAAATAATCTCTGATGCCTTTGTTATATTAGCTTTTGGTTGAATGTACTGTCGTAGTAAATATATAATGTTATAGCTTGGTCTGACTAAAATCTTGTGCATGACCCATTTTGTGTTGGGCCTTTGTATTCAATACAATGAACAAGAGTCCTATCTTGTCAGCCTTGTCAGCAGGTGGCTAAGGATAACACCCACGCCATAGGTCTCTCAGTTCTTCCAACTCACGAGTTCTTGCCCTGAGGACACACACACACACACACACACACACATCATCACTGATAAACACACACACACACACACACACATCATCACTGATAACAAACACACACACACACACACACACACACACACACACACACACACTGATAACAAACACACACACACACACACAAATCCTCTTCTCTTAGGCTGAACATCTGAAGACAGAGAACCCGACTCAGAGCCAATGCAACAGTGACACTAGCCTGGAGGTGACCTCGCCCAACTCATCAGGACCAATCAGAAGATCAGAACTACTAGATTCAACCTACTTCATTTTATTGTATAAAATGTCAGCACACAATGTTTAGGGGCTCTTCTGATAAACTCCCTACGAGTTTGACGAACGGGTCCGTGCACGCGATTCCAGATATCTTTACCTCTGAATAAACTGCCTTATATTATACAATTATCCACCTTGTCCAAAAGTCTCTACTTGGTCTCCGTTCTCCAGTAAACTTGTTTTATCAACAATAGTAAGGTTCAATGACACAGAAAGCAGTTCAATGTCGGGGTACAGAGTCGCTCTCTTACCAGGATCGCGGTCCGCTCTGACCAGGGTGAAGCCGGCCGGCTCCACCTCTCTGTCCGGGACTCTGTCATCCAGCCAAGTCTCCCAGCTGTATTGGGATTCCGCTGCCAGCAGCGTTTTCATTATTTAGTCCGTTCGTAGCGGGTATGTACACGATCAACAAGATCAGTCCAAAACCGAAGATCAGTCCAAAGCAGAATGTTTGCAGAATGTTTGTAAACTAAGTCTACAAATTAAAAACATAAAATAACGCCACACTGCAGGTCACAACAGAGACGCTGCTAGCCGCCATTGTCTTAGTTACGTTCAACGTTACGTCACGTATGACGAAAGCGCGTAAGTGCAAGCCCACAGACACCCATAGAGAATGTATTGAAAGCTTTGAAATGTGAAAAAAATAGATTTTACATGACAGGCTATGAGAGACTTCTGGGCGATTTTCAACCTGACTGAAATCGCCCAAAAAACGGGCGGGGCCATTTGAAGCACGACTTTAGCCTGATTTGACATTTAGTGGCTGGCAGATCAGACGTGAACACTGATAACTGCTGTTGCCGTGATATAATTGATTAGAAAAAAAATCCCTTCCTTTTCCCGTTTGGCAGTGCGTCGCCCATATCGCCCTATTGAACAAGCCGTCCCTGTGTGTGTATACTTTATGTGTCACTGTCTGTGGGCTGACTAAGACATCCCCAGGGCTGTGACTGTCTCTGAGTATCGATAGAGTCGCAGGCTGATGACAGGGCTGTGACTGTCTCTGAGTATCGATAGAGTCGCAGGCTGATGACTGGGTAGGCTTCTCTCACTATACTGTGTGACTTAGATTGTTTAATCACAGGTCTAGTGCAGTTTTTTAGGTCCACCCATCTACTACCCGGTCAGATCCCCTTGTAGACTTGAAGGGATGCACCTGCTCAGCAACAATGTTCAGATACACTGTGGCATTCAAACGGTGCTCAATTGGTATCAAGGGACCTAGTGTGTGCCAGGAAAACATTCCCCACACCATTACACCATCGCCACCAGCCTGTGATTTTGACACCAGGCAGGATGGGGCCATGGACTCATGCTGCTTACGCCAAATCCTGACTGCCATCAGCATGACGCAACAGGAACCGGGATTTATCGGACCAGGCAATGTTTTTCCACTCCTCAATTGTCCAGTGTTGGTGATCGCGTGCCCACTGGAGTACTTATTCTTGTTTTTAGCTGATAGGAGTGGAACCCAGTGTGGTTGTTTGCTGCAATAGTCCATCTGTGACAAGGACTGATGAATTGTGCTTTCCGAGATGCCGTTCTGCACACCACTGTTGTACTGTGCCGTTATATGCCTGTTTGTGGCCGCCTCTTAGTTTGCACGATTCTTGCCATTCTCCTTCGACCTCTCTCTTCAATTAGTTGTTTTCACCCACAGGACTGCCGCTGACTGGATGTGTTTTGTTTGTGGCACCAATTTCGGTAAATCCTAGAAGAAAAAAAAGCCCTGGAGGCCGACCGTTTCTGAGATAATAGAACCGGCGCACCTGGCACCGACGATCATACCAAGCTCAAAGCCGCATAAGTCCCTTGTTTTGCCCATTCTAACGTTGAATCGAACAGTAACTGAATGCCTTGATGCCTGTCTGCTGCTTAATAAAGCAAGCCACGGCCACGTGACTCACTGTCTGTAGGAGCTAACCATTTTCATGAACGGGATGGTGTAACTAATAATGGTGTAACTGGCCACTGAGTGTATATTTCCACATTATGAGGTTGGAATAATACTGTGAAATTGTGAAAATTATGATAATTTCCTCTTAGTTTAAAAGCTGTTTGAAAAGATGCATGACATTTCTGCCTGTTTAGGTGGAATGGAGTTTTCAGCTGTAAATTAGATAGCTATTTACACTCGTAATGCAGTGGCTGTACGGTAACATGCTATACATGACGTCAGACCTCAGGTTCTGCGCTACACAGCTTTGTATGGGTTTTGACTGACAGCAGTTCTGAACTTGAGCATCGCACATGACAAGAAGTTGTCCCCATCACTCCCACTAATTGGGCAACTTTTACAAAATGTTTGTTATCTGAGTGAGGGAAATGCTGTAAATTACGAGCACTCGATGTATTTTGAAAGATGAGATGTTGAGGATTATAATAAATACTGCTTTGATCTCATTCAAGCAAGCCAAACACCTGTGAGTCCAAATGTGCACTTCACATTTCCATATCATATGCCCGCCGCATGTGGCAGGGGCTACAGTCCATTACGGATTACAAAG